TGTGTGAATTGTCCTGAGATTATTATTATTATTATAAGTGGCAGAAGTATTTCAATTAAAAAATATGGTGGTTTTTTTATAGGATTACTAGATACTTGGATAAAATATATACAATTTTAAATACTTGCAAATTTTGTATTAATTACCTAAGTACTTAATGTAAATTTTGTTTTGAAATGATATACGTAGATAACATTCCAATGTAAGAAATAGGACAGATAGAGCTGTTTGTTTAGATAGATAACATGTATAGATAGATAGATAAAGTATGTAAACACACATTTGAATAATTGATAATAATAATCTAATAATAATCTCAGGACAATTCACACAGCGCCATCTAGACCCAAGTTAAGCTAGCTAAAGCTTGTGTTATGGGTACTAGATAACTGATACATATACATACTTTTTTTGTAAATACATACATAATATACATAGAAAACACCAAGACTGATACAAACAATCATACTCGTGAATACAAACGTTTGTGCCGTGCGAGGAATCGAACCCGCGACCATCGGACGTAAAGCGGTGTGCTAGACTGCTAGACCACCGAAGTCGTCAATATTATAATAATTGATAATTTTAAATAATCCCTCATACTAATGGGATGGCCTCCAGCAAGGTGGACCGACATCTGGTCAAGATCGCTGGAAGGCATTGCATGCGAGCAGCGCAGGACCGATCGTCGTGGAGATCTTTGGGGGAGGCCTATGTCCAGCAGTGGACGTCTTCCGGGCTGAGATGATGATGATCCTACTAATGTATGATAATGTAATGGTGCACCCACCTGCGCTAACGGTATACGCTGGTGGGGCACCAGTGGAAGATAAGATGAGCATGAGGTCAGTCAGCACATCTTGGTAAATAGCAATTTACAATGGTTTCCAGGGCGAATCGAGTGGAGTTCAACCTGACATGGTACATTGCCAGCAATGGGATCCATATTTTTTTAATTGATAATAATGTATGGTACACCCGCCTGCGCTAACGGTATACGCTGGCAGCACCAGTGGAGGATGATAAGATGAGCATGAGGTCAGGTCAGTCAGCACATCGTGACAAATTCAACAGGAATTTATCACGATGGTTTCCAGGGGAACCGCGTGGAAGTCAACCTGCATTGTTAGTAATGGGGTTACATCATTATCTTATATATAAAATTCTCGTGTCACCGTTTTCGTTCCCATATTCCTTCGAAACGGCTTGACCGATTCTCATGAAATTTTGTGAGCGTATTGAGTAAGTCTAAGAATCGGCCAACATCTATTTTTCATCCACCTAAATGTTAGGGGTAGTCAACCCCTAATTTTTTTTTTTATATAAGGCAAAACAACGTTTGCCGGAACAGCTAGTACAGTATAAAACAAAGTCGCTGTCGCTGTCTGTCCGTCCCTATGTATGTTTAAATGTTTAAAATTACGCAACAGATTTTGAAGCGGTTTTTTTAATAGGTAGAGTGATTCAAGAGGAAGTTATGTATGTATAATACATGTACACCCGTGCGAAGCCGGGGCGAGTAGCTAGTTACTAATAATCCAGTTCCCTCAATCCACTATATTCGCGATATACTATCAACTTATTATCAAACATTGTTTATATCGATGAGTAATTTCGACGTCCACAGTGGTCTAGCGGTTCAGGACAGGACTTTACTTCCGGTAGTCGCGGGTTCGATTCCTCGCATATTACAAACATTTGTATTCATGAGTATGATTATTTCTATCGGTCTGGATGTTTTATATGTTTATTATTTATGTATTTCGAAAAAAAAAAAATCTATGTATTTATATCAGTAGTACCCATAAGATAAGCTCTGCTTAGCTTAGGACAAGACGGCGCTGTGTGAATTGTCAAAGCTTATTACTGGTGTTTATATCAGTAGAGAGTTAGTAAGAAATAAAAATTGAAACATTATTTTTTTTATGTCAGCTGGCAATATGTATTTACAAAAAAAATCGTATCTAAAATAAAAAAAAAATGCTTATGCAGTGAGAATGTGAAAATATATGTTCAATTACAACACATGTATGTTGTATAGGTATGTTGTAATTGCCGGTAATACTTAAACTTAATTCAACTTTCCCGGTAACTGAGAGATTTGTCCGATTTCACAAAAAGTGGTCTCTACTTGGTGTATGCGAGTTTTTTAACTGATTTCAGAAATAGAGCTGCGAGACCATCGTAATTATTAAATAAGTAAAATTGTAGTGTCTGTTTATCCGCTTTTCACTAAATTGAGTTTAAAAATGAATCTGTATTATTGTACACATGTACAACATTTATTTGAAAAGATTACGAGCTGAGTTTCTCGTCAGTTCTTTCCATCTCGGAATCATTCCGAACTGACGGTAGATTTGACATATCATAAGAGTCTGTAATAGACCTACATGAATGAAAATATTTTGATTTGATTTATTAAAATGCATCTGAAGGAAAGTACATACATTAAAAATATTTTAAAACGTTTGTCTGCCAGTTTGTTCTCGCTAATCTCTGAGACGGCCGGACCGATTTATTTTATCCAAGCCTACAAAGTCGCGGTATAAAGCTAGCTTTTTTTTCGGGCTACTCTAATGCTGTTGGCCGCAGCTGTCCTTTACAGCTTCACCGGACGATAGGAGGCGAGTGCAGATGGCACTCCAAACCAAAGGAAGGACTTATGGAGCGGCTGAAGGACATCTCCCGTCTGACGGATACGACTTTAGTTTGACGGTACCGCTAGGGGTTCGAACCTCGGCTCAGGCCGTCGTAACATCGATCCCCGTTGAATTGGACGGGGATCGATCGGAGGGCTAGTGCGATATATTCATTCATTAAAAGATATATATCAGTAGGTATGTTTAGTAACAAAGGTAAATATATATACAATGACATATAGTGATTATCTTTTGTTTGAAGTATGTTATCTTGATATATAATATATATACATACATATTATGTACAGTCATATAGTTAATGACTATAATGAGGCCACGGCTAGGTGCGACTCATTTAACTTAATATCTTCATTACATAGTCATTACATAGTATATAACAAAGTCGCTGTCGCTGTCCGTCCCTATGTATGCTTAAATCTTTAAAACTACGCAACGGATTATGAAGCGGTTTTTTAAATAGATAGAGTGATTCAAGAGGAAGGTTTATATAATACATGTACACCCGTGCGAACATGGGGTGAGTAGCTAGTTTTTTTTACAATTCACACAGCGCCATCTAGACCCAAGTTAAGCTAGCTAAAGCTTATGTTATGGGCACTAGATAACTGATACAAATACATAGATATTTTTTTTGTAAATACATACATATTATACATAGAAAACACCCAGATACAAACAATCATGCTCAGGAATATGTTTGTGCCGTGCGTGGAATCGAACTCGCGACCATCGGAAGTCAAGCGGTGAAGAAATGAAACTGGAAATTATCAGGCGCGCCGTATACGTGCGTATGGTCATTTGATGGCCTTTTCCAAGTGATGATTGCGACTTGCTCAGAACACCATATATGCCAATGCAATATGGACACTTTCTCCCAGAGCGTATATTTACAGGAAATACGAGTTATGTACAGATATACTGACAGATTTTTTTACAGTTCTGAGAGAAACGAACTGGCTAACTTCCTACCTGATGGAAAGTGGAAGTGTGGAAGTGAAAAATCTAATATATGATCTATACATATAAATAAAATTGGAGTGTTTGTTTGTAATATTGTAATAACCGTTTTTTACTACATACATATGAATATAAATACGGTACATACGCCAAAATATCATTTTTTACAATTTTCGTCTGTCTGTCTGTTTCTTCCGGCTAATCTCTGAAACGGTTGGACCGAATTTGGCAGGACTTTTATTGGCACGTAGCTGATGTTATAAGGAGTAACTTAGGCTACTTTTATTTTAGAAAAAAAAATACATTATCTTATAGAAAATAAAAGTTAAATTCCACGCGGACGAAATCGCGGGATCAGCTAGTAATAAATAAATATATTTCCGACTAGCTGTACCCGCGACTTTGTCCGCGTGGAATTTAACTGTATTTTTCTAAAATAAAAATAGCCTAATTTACACCTTATTACATCAGCTACCTGCTAATAAAATTCCCGCCAATAAATCGGTCCAGCCATTTCAGAGATTAGCCGGAACAAACAGACAGACAAATATTGTAAAAAATATTATTTTGGTGTATGTACCGTATTTATATTCGTATGCAGATAGTAAAAAACGGTTATTTCAATATTACAAACAGACACTCCAATTTTATTTATATGTATAGATGTATAGATTATCCAGACACAAAATATACTCTGTGGCAATTAATACATAATTCAATCATACAATGTATGTATGTACGTGGAGGTTGTCGACCCAGTTCTCGAGTTTTTTGTTGACATACGAACAATAACGTCGCGGCGCCGCTACTGAGAAACTATCGGACTATTTTATCCGTCGATACCGTGTTCTCAATTGTTTTTCTATAATTTTTCGTTAGTCTATGGTTAAGTAGAAAGTTCTAGATCATCATCATCATCATCGCAGCCCAGAAGACGTCCACTGCTGGACATAGGCCTCCCTCAAAGATCTCCACGACGATCGGTCTCGTTATTTTTTATTTTTTCTCTACTGTCTTACAAATATATTGGGCGTCAGAGGTCCATAGGCTACAGTTTACCATCAGATGGGCCGTATCCTTGTTTACCACCATCGTAGTATAAAAAAGGTATAAATATAACACTTGTTACTAAGATGATTAGAGAAATCTGTTTCTCATCCCCACCGTAGTAGAAGCCAGTAGCCCCTCTACTTAAACCTCTTGAGGGGTCCGTTTCTACTCGGTAATTATTTGGGGCATTTGGGGCAGAGCCCTGCCCCTTGAGTTCTACAATACAGTTTATGTATTGAATTGTCATGATGCATTTAGAAGCATATCCCTAATAGAGTTTTTGAGTTGAGGTCCAAGTCACTACTCGTGTCTGATGGTGGTCTTGTTACTTACCCGTACAAAAGGGTTTCTCCTTGGCAGTTCATGGTCTACCTCGTCCCGCTCCTCGTCGTCTGCTGAGTTGACCCTCACGCAGGTCTTATGTATGGTCTGCGGGTCACCCATACTCCGCACTCATTATACATACACAGACACACAACTCTATACACTTCCACCAAATCACTAGTCACAAATAGCAGCACGATTCGCGCCAAAAATATTGAATATTTTTAAAATTGGAACACAATGAGTAGAAATATTCAAATTTCGAATATTATCATCATCAATGAAAGTTTTTGTTGAATCGTATTTATTCAAATTTTCAAAATTGGAACACAATGAGTATAATTTCAAATTTCGAATATCACAAAATTAATGTTTATGTTGAACCGTATTTATTCAAACTATTTCAAATTTTCAAAATAGGAACACAATGAGTATAATTTCAAATTTCGAATATCACAAAATGAAAGTTTTTCTATGAACCGTATTTATTTAGAACACCGTTTTTATGCACTTGTATTGAGACTTCACCGCTAAGATTGGTGTCGATCTGAAAAAAGAAAACTAGAGTAAATATATATACCTACATCAATAAAATTTTGGGTTGTATGTATTTTTTAATTGGGAAGCGGTTAAGCCACTGTTTCCTTTTGCTCTTGCCCCTCTGTGGGACCAATGCCCCAGAGAGGGGCAATCCGAAAAGGGACTCTTAATTAAAATTAAATGTGAATTTCAAATTTTTATTGTTTTCAAAAAAGACCCATCAAAACCGGTCCAGCCATTTCAGAGATTACCCGGAACAAACAGACCGACAGGCATACAGACAAAAATGATAAAAAATGATATTTTGGTATATATACCGTATTTATATTCATATGCATGTAGTAAAAACGGTTATTTCAATATTACAAACAGACACTCCAATTTTATTTATATGTATGAGCACACTCATATATTTTTGTTAAATTATATAGTAAACTAGCTGTCCCGGCAAACGTTGTTTTGCCTTAAAATAAAAAAAAATGTAGGGGTGGACTACCCCTAACATTTAGGGGGATGAAAAAATAGATGTTGGCCGATTCTCAGACCTACTCAATACGCTCACAAAATTTCATGAGAATCGGTCAAGCCGTTTCGGAGGAGTATAGGAACGAAAACTGTGACACGAGAATTTTATATATAATATAAGATATTATAACTCTTGAATTTTTATTTTTAATTTATTTAGTTTAAAATCTTTATCATGTAAATTTGTTTTACAATTTTGAAGTTCTTGTAACAGGTCTAATTTTTGCCTTCTAATATCTTCTTTTGTTCAATACATATAATACATTTTGAGCTGTTCTGTTTAAACAGTACAATTCAAAAATTCAAAATTCAAAATATCTTTATTCATATAGGTCTATTACAGACTTATGATATGTCAAATCTACTGTCAGTTCGGAATGATTTCGAGGTGAGAAAACTGACAAGAAACTCAGCTCGTATTCTTTTCAAATAAACATAATTAATTGTTAATTATAACACTTCACAAGTGTACTCACCAATAACAATCACGATTGTGAGATATAATAATTGTTATATTATCATATCTCTAAGTTGTGAAACATTTTTAATATTCCACGTCATGTTAAGTGGAACAGATAAGGAAATTATAGAATTTGATGCCTACGGCCATCTTTTACCATCGCACCGCTCGCCATCGACAGGGAATTCATCACACGCTGGAACCTATGTGGTCTCGGACAGTGCGGTTTCAGAGGAGCTTCCTCCCGCGTACACTTACATTGTGGAATGAACTACCTGCCGAGGTTTTCTCACGAGACTACAGCATGGGGTTTTTCAAGAATGGTATATTAAGGTTTCTTAAGGGTCGGCAACGCGCACGTGACACCACGGTGTTTCAGGCGTCCATAGGCTACGGTAACCATTTACCATCAGATTGGTATCGTATCGTAAGCTTGTTTGCCATCATAGTAGAATAAAAAAAATATTAACCAGGTCATCCTCAACCCCCTAAGTGGTACTTACCTCGAGGCCCCATTAGCAAGGCATCGAGTTTGACGACAAACCTTAGGGGACTGTGAGGAATAGGGATTGTTAGTAATATGGGGGTATCCTATTGCAATGCACCATGTCAGGTTGACCTCCATGCTCCAGAGGGAACCTGGAAACCATCGTGATAAATTCTTGGAGAATTTGTCACGATGTGCTAACTGACCTGACCTCATGTTCATCTTATCATCCTCCACTGGTGCCCCGCCAGCGTAAACCGTTAGCACAGGCGGGTGCACCATTCCATTATAGCCTAAATAAATTAGTGTTGGTTGGTAGTTTGTATTCACACGTTTCGACTTGTAAATGTAAACTTACAAGGATTGTTTAAAAGAGCAACACACAAGTTTCTTGCTTATTCTTCTTGTGATGTGACAGCTTTCCGCATAAGCGGTAGATTTAAAAAAATGTTGACTATTCAAAAGTGCTTAAATTAAGTTTATTTGAATAAATGATTTTCTATTCTATTCTATTCTTATAATCCATAAAATCCCCTGGGAGATTAGAGGGAAGGGGTTTGTTAGTAATGTGGCTTGATGACCTCATTACTAGCATGTACCATGTCAGATTGACCTCCATGCGGTTCCCCCTGGAAACCATCATGAATTTCTCACGATGTGCTAACTGACCTGACCTCATGCTCATCTTATCAGCCTCCACTGGTGCCCCGCCAGCGTATACCGTTAGCGCAGGCGGGTGAACTATTACATTATCAAATTAAATTAATATAAAGTAATATGGAATTATAAACATGTTATTAAATGTTTTAATTTCAAAACAGTACCTACATATTTTGTATTATCTGTCTCCCATACGCAATGCACTGGCAACATACGAAGTAACTAGAATTACGTTTGCAGTTTCGATAATAAAACATTTTATGTTTCACAAGTCACGTATGTTATAATATTTATATATATATATATATTATCTACTAGCTATACACGTAACATCGTCCGCGTGGAATTTAACTTTATTTTTCTAAAATAAAGGTAGCCTAAGTTACTACTTATTACATCCAATAAAAGTCTCGTCAAAATTGATCTAGGCATTTCAGAGATCAGCTGCAACGTATAGACAGACAAAATTTGTAAATAATGTCATTTTGGTGTATGTACCGTATTTATATCCATATGCATGTAGTAAAAAACGGTTATTTCAATATTACAAACAGACACTCCAATTTTATTTATATGTATAGATTAGACTATTTATAAGAGTTATCAATGGTTGTGGCATAATGTTTAATAACTTATTCAAATTCAAAATATCTTTATTTATGTAGGTCCATTACAGACTCTTATGATATCTAACACTTCAAGTTATCAAATTCAACAAGGTTTGTTGCAAATCCTTCTAATACTTTCAGATTATCATTTCTTCCGGCAATTAATTACGTGTTCAAACATAGAGATATAAATAAGATCCTACGTGATTAATAAATCTGAGAAGCAGATAGTGTTAAGTGATAACACTGCCACAAATAAAACCGACTCATTGTCTGAGTCATCAGGGATAATATCGTGATGGGTAGGCGATATATTTGGAGTTCATGATACATTTTACGGTTGTATGTCTCAGGCCTCACCTGAGACATACAACCATATAACATAACTTGGAATTTTCTATATATTTACATCTAAATATATATAACTCAAAGGTGACTGACATAGTGATCTATCAACGCACAGCTCAAACCATTGGACGGATCGCGCTGAAATTTGGCATGCAGGTAGATGTTATGACGTAGGCATCCGCTAAGAAATGAGTTTTATCAATTATACCCCCAAGGGGATAAAATAGGCGGTGACAGTTTATATGAAACTTTGTCAATTTTATACCGATCGGGCTGAGACTTTGTATGCATAAAGCTACTATGACGTAGGTATTCCCTAAGAAAGGATTTTGATAAATTCCACCCCTAAGGGGATAAATTAACGCGAGCGAAGCCGCGGGCAAAAGCTAGTTTTTTTATATAACACAGGGGACAAACGAGCATGCGTCTCACCTGATGGTAAGTGATTACCGCCGCCCATGAGCACCGGCAACACCAGATGATTAGCAAGTACGTTGTCGGCCTATTAAGAATGAATAAGCTCTTTTATTGAAGGTTTCAATATCGTATCGGTTCGGAAATAGCATTGCTGGAAGGTGATTCCACAATGTGGTCGTGCGTGGCGATAAGTTTCTAGAAAACCGCACTGTGCAGGACCGCCATTCATCCAGATGATAAGGATGGTATTTTAGTTTCTGGCGGGTGCAAGCTGTCTTACAGTTGTAGGGTCAGATCAGGCGCCATCTAGTCCCACGGTAAGCATACCTTATGTTATGGGTACTAGACAACTAATATATATATTTATTTATAACTAGCTGTTCCCGTAACTTCGTCCGCGTGGAATTTAACTTTATTTTTCTAAAATAAAACTAGCCTAAGTTACTCCTTATTACATCAGCTACCTGCCAAAAAAAGTCCCGTCAAAATTGGTCCAACCATTTCCAGCATATTAGCCGGAACAAACGGACAGACAGACAAAAATTGTAAAAAATGTTGTTTTGGTTTATGTACCGTATTTATATTCATATGCATGTAATAAAAATCAGTTATTTCAATATTACAAACAGACACTCCAATTTTATTTATATGTATAGATTGCATATGCACATACAATAATGTTACATATAGATAACAAATTAATAATACACATGGACTCTGTTTAAAGAGTGTATCAGATTCATAGATGCCACTGCATATTTTAGTCTGTCTGTTTGTTAGGATGAAATTGAAGCCTGCATAGCTACTACAGTACGTCAGCCAAGAATTCTTTTACAAGCCTAGTAAATATAAAGTCAACAAATCTTTGAGCCTTTTTTTTAATAAATGAAAATTTTCTTCTTTTATGCCTTCCGGGATTTTGTTATAAATTAGTGTAGATCGGTAGTAAAAATATATAAATATTGATATATTTTTTTCGTAATTTTTGTATTTATGGTGTCTACATTTTAATACGTTCTTTTTAAAAGATTCTGTTTGTATGTGTGCTGATGTAACGGCCTATTTAATAACCCAGTGGAGTATGGATGTTTAGTCACACAACGTGCACATACGGACTAACATAGTGGTGTTCAGGAGAGCGCATTATGTTACAGACTATTACAGAATTGGAAACTACGTTGAATTACTGACTCGAGTCGTTTTCTACATTTCATCATCATCATCGCAGCCCGGAAGACACTGCTGGACATAGGCCTCCCCCAAAGGTCTCCACGACGATCGGTCCTGCGCTGCTCGCATCCAATGCCTTCCAGCGATCTTGAACAGATCGTCGGTCCACCTTGCTGGAAGCCTTCCCACGCTGCGTCTTCCGGTTCGTGGTCGCCATTCGTGGACTTTATTGCCCCAGCGGCCTTCTGTCCAACGAGCTATGTGGCCTGCCCATTGCCACTTCAGTGTCGCAATTCTTCGGGCTATGTCGGTCACTCTGGTCTACGGTCTAC